GAAGTAATATTAAAGTTTTCAGAAGAAAAAAGTGACAAATGATGTAAAATCCTGCACCTTCTACTTGTTTGTACAATTTTCCCTCCGTTACTTTTCCCTCCGTTACCATGAACTTTCTTAATAAAAAATCTCATGAGTCAAAAAGTCAGAGGTTTTTCAACCTAATCTTGTACCATATGGTAGAAAACTATATGAAGCAAATATTCAAACCAGTTTGTTAAGGATATGGAAGTGAGAACCAAGAGTTATCACTGTTTGGATTTATTGACCAAAAAGTGCTGCATATTTCATTCCCTCCGTTACCGAACATGAGTTTTTTTACATTTTTTTGTCTTGAACTTGAAAGAATCTCACAGGTTTAACTTGACCCTGTTGGAGTGTAACTCTTTCCTACATTCTGATACTTTACTTATTTCAATAGTTCCTCTAGTTTCTGAATAAGAGACATTTGAATGTCAAAAATCTGACCCTGTTTCCTCCGTTAACACTTGACCAGATCCATAATCTTAAACTGAAAGGTACAAATACGATGAGCGACGGGAAAAGTGGAATGTATTCATCAATGACACCAGTAAAACAACATAGTACATAAAAATGTCAATACCAAATGCATGTTTAATAAGAAGCTGTAACTCCAGACTGATGTTGTTTTTGATTTTCTGTTACTTAAAACCAATAAAAACTAAGTTAGAAAAAAAGGAAAATGTCAAATGTGTCGCATAAACGAGTTTCCTTCCTCTGAACAAACAACAAAACTGGAGCTGAAAATAATTTAGTGAAATAAACCAAAAAATCCTCTTGGCGATATATCGATACAGCAGCCCACGATATCGACACTGCATCATCACATTAAACGATACGACATCTCGATATTTAGACATTTTTGTACACCTTTGGTCTCCTTCACAGTTTAATGCCACACTGTGAAACATTCCAGACAAAGCAACAACATTTCAAACATGAAGAAAAGCGTTTGGCGGAAAAGTTACACAATGCAGCTTTAAACTTTGCACCTCTGTCAGACCTTCATCTTTATTTTAATCACAGGAAAATAAAAATGTGCAGTTTAAATCCATTTTGTGTTTTTTTTTTTTCTTGGATTTACTCGTGTTTTGTTTTTTTTCTCCCGGGAGTTTTTGTCGACACATTTTGGGATCCTCATAATTATTCAGCAGAAACACGTTGAGCTCCGAGCCCGAGTCTGATCCGAGGTAAAAAGAGTCAGACTGTCACAGATTCTCGCAGATAAAACCGAGCGGCAGACGGAGGGCGGTCGTATTGACGAGCGATCGAAGGCCTGTCTGTCTGTCTGCTGCTGCGGGCCTCAGACGACGACACGACAAACACACTCTGAACCTGAAACTGTCACCAGGACCGAGCTCGAGACACGGTGAAAGATCTGTGGGAAATTATGTGTTGATCATGCTAAATTCACCTAATATTATGGACTCTGGAATGACAACAGGGTGGAAAACACGTATGATTATCTGTAGGTCTACATAACATGTTTTTTCTGTACTTGAGTGTCATAAAGAACATGTTTTTCTGGACTTTGAGATGCCACGAAGCAGAAAAACTGACATATGTGGTCCCCGTGGCATGTTTCCACCCATGATAAGGTGCACTGGGTCAGCAGTATTGTTCATTTTCTTGCTGTATTTGCTAAATCAACAAGTTAATGTTTTGTCAAGATGTAGTATAAAGCTACCCCTGATTTTGAGCTTGTCAGACGTCGTCCGGGGTGACAGTTGTACTTGGTAATCAACTTGAATCTCACTCAATGGAAATGTTGAAATAAAGTGGCCTGTTTTCTTGGATTCTCCATCTCCTGTGCTTCTTTTTAGGACACGCATTGAACCTTCCGAAAAACCCACAGATCCAACACGAGACCTGATAATTACAGAAATAATAATAACGTGAAAGGACAGATTTAGTTGACGAGCTGAAGGTCCCCACCTCGTGCCACAAGATCGAACACACACACGAGGAAAATGATCCTGAGAGATTTTTTTTTTTTTTTTTTTTTCAAAGAGACATTTTCATATTAAAACATTCGACCAATCACATTTCAGCTTCATCTGTTGCCGGGCAGAGAAATGACAAAACCATAGAAACAAGAAGGTGACTACTACTACTACTACTACTACTACTTCAACTACACTACTACTACAACTACTACTACTACTACTACTACTACTACTAACTACTACTAACTAACTACTACTACTACTACTACTACTACTAACTACTACTACTACTACTACTACTACTACTACTACTACTACTACTACTACTACTACTACAACTACTACTACTACTACTACTACTACTACTACTAACTACTACTACTACTACTACTACTACTACTAACTACTACTACCACAACAACTACAACAAGTACTACAACTGCAACTACTACTACTTCTACTACTACTTCTGCGTCTACTAGTACTACTGCAACTGCAACTATTACTACTACTTCAACTACTTCTACTACAACTGTTACTGTTCTACTACTACTATTACTACTACTGCTACAACTGCTTAAACTACTACTACTACTACTACTACTGCGACAACTACAACTACTACTGCGAAAACTACAACTACTACTACTACTACTACTACTGCAACTACTTCTACAACAACAAATACTACAAATACTACTACTAGTTTTCCTGATGTTTGTTTTGTTTCCACACATGGATTTTCATATTAAATCATTCGACCAATCACATTTCAGCATCATCTGTTGCCGGGCAGAGTCAGAGTCACAGAGTCTGAGTCCTTCACAATCCAAAAACAAACGTCCATCAAACTGTCGCTTCAACCAATCAGATTAAACCAGGACTAAACCAGGACTAAACCAGGACTAAACCAGGACTAAACAAGGATTATACCAGGTCTAAACCAGGTCTAATCTTGGACTTGAGAGAGAACCTCGAGTCTGTGGAGGATCTAGCGACGGCTGCACTTCACCCCATGCGGCGTGGAGCTCTGAGTTGATCCTTTCACCTGTGGTCACCTACGTGGGCGCACTTCCAGGTCCGACCGGACACTCAGTCCTGGTTCAGTCCTAGTTAAGTCCTAGTTTTGACCTGGTTAAGACCCGGTTTAGACCTAGTTTAGTCCTGGTTTAGACCTGGTTTTGTCCTGGTTTAGTCCTAGTTTAGTCCTGGTTTAGACCTGGTTTAGTCCTGGTTTAGTCCTAGTTTAGTCCTGTTTAGACCTGGTTTAGTCCTGGTTTAGTCCTGGTTTAGTCCTGGTTTAGTCCTGGTTTAGACCTGGTTTAGTCCTGGTTTAGTCCTGGTTTAGTCCTGTTTTAGTCCTGGTTTAGACCTGGTTTAGTCCTGGTTTAGTCCCCTGGTTTTGACCTGGTTTAGTCCTGGTTTAGTCCTGGTTTAGACCTGGTTTAGTCCTAGTTTAGTCCTAGTTTTGACCTGGTTTAGTCCTGGTTTTGTCCTGTTTTAGTCCTGGTTTATTCCTGGTTTTAGACCTGGTTTAGTCCTGGTTTAGTCCTGTTTAGTCCTGTTTTAGTCCTGTTAGTTTAGTCCTGGTTTAGACCTGGTTTAGTCCTAGTTTAGACCTGTTTAGACCTGGTCCTGGTTTAGTCCTGTTTTAGTCCTAGTTTAGTCCTGGTTTAGTCCTGGTTTAGTCCTGGTTTAGTCCTGTTTAGTCCTGGTTTAGTCCTGGTTTAGTCCTGGTTTAGTCCTGGTTTAGTCCTGGTTTAGTCCTGGTTTTGGTCACTATAGGACAGTACTGTAGATTTCATGAGTCTGTGCAGTTTGTTTTCAGCTTTGGTTTCATATTTAAGTTGTAAATATTTTTTATTTGTTATTTTTTATCTCACGTTGGGAGAAATGTGTGGACGTTGAACTCTCGCCCACTACACCTCTGACTGTGGCTACAGCAGTTTTCTATCTGCGACGCAGTCGGCTCTTTATTCTGTGTTTCTGTAGAATAAAACACTTTTAGAACCATAAAATAATTCTTGAGGAGTGGATTGTTTCAGACGGAGCTCGACTGAAGCCCGAGATGTGAAACGCTCGATCCAACACTGTTATACGGAAGCCGAGAGGGTCACAACAAACGCAAACGCCGCAACAAATACAAATGCGACAACACAACAAAAAGCCACAACAAACCAAAAAAAGCCACAACGGAAATGACCCCGGGACTCGATTTTAATGCAAACGCCACAACAAATACAAACACCACAACACAAACGCAAATGTCGCAACACATTAAAAAGCCACAACACATTAAAAAGCCACAACGGAAGTGACCGCAGGACTATTTTCCGACAGACCGATCAAGAAGAACTACAACGTGAAAAGTAAAGGAACGGAGAAGTTGGAAACGTAAGTAAAAGTAATTTATTGTTTTATCATTATTCGTTTCACGTTGTAGTTCTTCTTCTTCACTTGCCGCTTGATCGGTCCGTCGGAAAATAGAGTCCCGCGGTCACTTCTGTTGTGGCTTTTTTTTTGTTTGTTGTGCTTTGTTTGTAATGTGTTGTGGCTTTTTAATGTGTTGTGGCTTTTTAATGTGTCGTTTGTGTGTTGTGTCGTTTTGTATTTGTTGCGGCGTTTGCATTAAAATAAGAGTCCCGCGGTCATTTCCGTTGTGGCTTTTTTTGGTTTGTTGTGGCTTTTTGTCGTGTTGTCACATTTGTATTTGTTTTGACCCCTTTCGGCTTCCGTACTGTTAAAATCCTGCAACCCTTTTGTACACAGTGTTCCAAAGAAAAAAAAAAAAGACCTGACAAAGATTTTTTTTTGCTGAAACAATATCTAAAAAAAAAAAAAAAAAAAATCATCTGAACATCTGAGATTTTGCGCTAAAAGGCGATTTAAGGAGTTTTCCATGTAAACCTCAATTCAGAATTATTATTTCCATGTAAAATTCCGACTGTTCAATTAAATCAGAATTAAAAAACATCATTCCCAGTGCAGCTCCGTGTTTTTTTTTTTTTTTCGGGGTTAAACCAGGACACTCACTTGCGTGTTTATCCGCCAGAGCGATGAGGGTGCTGGAGATGTCCCTGCGCCGATAGAAACAAACCACCTTGGCCTCCACGTTCCCATTGGCCGTCTGAAAAAAGAAAGAAAGAAATAAATACATAAAAAAAAAAAAAAAAAAGAACGAACGAACGGGGAGACAAGCGGCGTTACCACGGAAACAGGGAGCCGCACGCCGGGCACCAAAACGCACCAAAACACACAAGTTTAGCACCGGCATTAATGAGGGAACACAAAGAGAGAAGGGCGAGGTTTAACTTTGCACCAGACGGAACGACACACACCAGAATCACCAAAAAAACACCACCACACCGGCTTCATTTGAGCTTTATTTGGGCTATTACATTTTTTTTTTTTTTTTTTTTTTTGCGACAGTAAATTTCAGTTTTAATAAAAGGATTCTGTTCACGTTTCAGATTTTAAACACGTCCAGACGAACTGAGAAAGAGACTCAAATCTGAACTGACAAACACAAATTCGTTCAATCGTTTTTCAAAATAAAACCAAAAATAAGAAAAGGAAAAAAACTAATATTTGCTTCATTATTTGTCTCTAAAACCAAAATGAAAAAAAAAAAAAAACAGATAAAGATTTGTTTTTTTCAGTTTTTGATTTTGTGTTTCAATGAAAAACAGGAAAAACGGATAATGAACTGAACCAGACCAGAACCGAGACCAGGACCAGACTGGGACTGAAAACGGTTTAGTCTTGGTTTAGTCCTGGTTAATCCATGTGTCGTTCGTTCATTTGTTTTTCAATATAAACCAAAAAATAAGAAAATGAAAAACCAAATGTTTTCTTCATTATTTGTCTCCAAAACCAAAATGAAAAAAAAAAAAAAACGGGTAATGATTTGTTTCTTTCAGTTTTCAATTTTGTGTTTAAATGAAAAAAGGAAAAAACAGATAACGACTGTTTCCTGTTTACGTGACTTCAGTGACTGTGATGCTGGACTGAACCAGGACTGATCCAGGTCCGGGACCAGAGTGGGACCAGAGCTTTGACTCCGACCCTCCGCAGGGCTCTGAGCCTCCGGTCTGTCCTGGTCCCTGGTCCTGGTCTCAGTCCCGGTCTCCGGTCCCGGTCTCAGGTCTCCCGGTCTCTGGTTCCGGTCTCAGTCCCCGGTCTCAGGTCCCGGTCTCAGTCCTGTTCCAGTCCTGGTCTCAGTCCCGGTTTCGGTCCCGGTCTCGGTCTCAGTACCGCACTGTTTCCGGTCTCAGTCCCGGTCCCGGTCTCAGTCCTGGCCTGTTTCCGGTCTCAGTCCCGGCCTGGTCCTGGTTTGGTCTGGTCTTGGTCTCAGTCCTGGTCCCGGACCTGGATCAGTCCTGGTTCAGTCCGGCATCGCAGTCACTGAAGTCACGTAAACGGGAAACGGACGTTATCCGTTTTTTCATTTTGGTTTTGGAGACAAATAATAAAGAAAACTTTTTGTTTGTTTATTTTCTTATTTTGAAGTTTTGAGTTTTATATTGAAAAACAAATGAACGAATGACACAGATTCTGGTTCAGTCTGTTTTTTTTTTTCATTCTTCATTTAAACACAAAATTGAAACTGAAAAAATTAATCATTATCTGTTTTTTCATTTTGGTTTTGGAGACAAATAATGAAGAAAATAGTTGTTTTTTTTTTCCATTTCTTATTTTTGGTTTTATTTTGAAAGACAAATAAACAAATGACACGGATTAGAATCAGACTCCGGAGCACAAGTACAGATCTGAACTTCAGGGTTGGACGTTTTTACGCCGACGGAAAAGGATATTTTTAAATCACGGTGCTTTAAATTACAGCCTCAGTGATTTTCTGATCACGTTGAAACTGTGATCTCGGTTCATCTTAAGGTTTGTTCAGACCAGAGCCTCAAAAAACACATCTGTTTAGACAATGTCCATCTTAAACACCGAGGACGAACCGGAGAAAAATACTTGACGTGCGTCCAGAGCGTCCGGAGCGTCCGGAGCGTCCGGAGCGTCCGTTGCCTCGGAGACAAGAACCACTTCCAGGTCTTTTACCCGAACGATTTTGATTGCAGATTTTGAGTCGCCCTTGTGTTTTTTGTTTTTTTGCGTTTGCTTTTTCCTGTGCGGTGATTTTATTGAAGCTAAATATGTTTGAGGCTTTTTTTTGTGGGTCTTTTTTCGCTTGCAGTGTTGGAAAGTAACTAAATACTCTGAATACTAGTTTGGAGTAACTATTCTGGTACAGTTACTCTTTCGTTTTGTGATATTCAGTAGAGATCCACTGTTTTTTGTTGTTTTTTTCATGGCTGATACTGATATTTTGAGCCGACTGATTATTTTCTACAGTATTTACTAATCTCATTACTCTACTACTACTACTACTACTACTCCTACTCCTTCTACTTCTACTACTCCTACTTCTACTCCTACTACTCCTACTACTCCTACTACTACTTCTACTACTACTACTCCTACTCCTACTACTCCTACTCTACTACTCCTACTACTTCTACTACTCCTACTTCTACTTCTACTCCTACTACTCCTACTACTACTACTTCTACTTTTACTCCTACTACTACTACTACTCTACTTCTACTCCTACTACTACTACTACTACTCTACTACTCCTACTACTACTCCTACTACTACTACTTCTACTCCTACTACTACTACTACTTCTTTTTGACCACTAGCCTATAGGAGAGTGATGTAGTCATGTTTTGCGCAGTTATTTCTTAGTATTAAAGTGTAAAATAATATAAAACTTTGTGTGTATTTTTGGCAGCAAATTGAACAAAACAAAATATCGGTTTGTGCTGGAGATTTAAGACTGACAACAAATACGATAAAAAGTCTAAATATCGGCCAAGAACTACAGCAGTAAAGACAGAGAGACTTTAGTGTTTATATTTATACTGGTTTATTCCTGGTCCAGTCCTGGTGATCGACGGCTGCAGCGTGTTTATATTTATATCCGGCTGATGTTTGTGGTTCTCCGTCCTCGCTCCTTCGGCTCTTTCTCCTTCTTCTTCTTTTGGGTAAGAACGTCGCTTTGTCTCTGGATACTCGTCCCTGATTGGCTGATGCGGCGCGTCCAACACCAAAAGTTCTACATTTTCAGCTTCTGACGCCGACGCCGTGGACGCGTGACTAGAGCGTCGACGCCTGGACGCTCCAGACGGTGAACACGCTTCAGAATCACCCAACAAAACCACGCTGCCACCGTTTGGTTATTGGGTTTTTATTTGGGCTAATTACGTTTTTTTTTTGTAAGAATTGCAATGGAAAATTTCAGTTTGAATAAAAGGATTCTGTTCACATTTCAGATTTACACACGAGCTGAGGAAGAAAAAGACTCAAATCTGAACTGAGAAACAAATTTGTTCATTCGTTTTTCAATATAAAACCAAAAATAAAAAAAGGAAACAACAAATATTTTCTTCATTATTTGTCTCTAAAACCAAAATGAAAAAACAGATAAAGATTCGTTTTTGTTTTTTTTTTTTTTTTCAGTTTTCGATTTTGTGTTTAAATGAATAAAGGACAAAATGGATTATGGATTGAACCAGACCAGAACCGAGACCGGGACCAGACCAGGACCAGACCAGGACCAGACTGGGACTGAAACGATAGAGTCTGTGTTCAGTCTGCAGCCTGAAGTGACCCAAACCCCAGTTTTTGCCTCTTTGTTCTTGTATCTGATGTTTTAACGACACAAGATCTGATTTTTTCAAACGTGACTCAGGACACTTGGATCTGTGCTCCTGAAACTGATCCAAATCTGATCTTTAACATGTGACTTCAGTGTGAACGGCCCAGTGTTGGGAGTAACAGATTACATGTACCAGAGTTAAGTAATCAGATTACAAATTATGAGTTACTGTTTCAGTGAGTGGTAATTGGATTACAGTTACTTTGTTGAAATAAGTGGATTACAGGGCAGTATTTTCCTGTTTTCACATTTTGGGCTAAACCAGGACAAAACCAGGTCTAAAACCGAGGACTAAAACCAGGACTAAACCAGGACTAAACCAGGACAAAACCAGGACTAAACCAGGTCTAAACCAGGTCTAAAAACCAAGACTAAAACCAGGACTAAAACAGGACTAAACCAGGACAAAACCAGGACTAAACCAGGTCTAAAACCAGGTCTAAACCAGGGCTAAACCAGGACAAAACCAGGTCTAAAACCAGGACTAACCAGGACTAAACCAGGACTAAAACCAGGTCTAAAACCAGGTCTAAAACCAGGACTAAAACCAGGACTAAACCAGGACTAACCAGGACTAAACCAGGACTAAAACCAGGTCTAAAACCAGGTCTAAAAACCAGGACTAAAACCAGGACTAAACAGGACTAAACCAGGACAAAACCAGGACTAAACCAGGTCTAAAACCAGGTCTAAAACCAGGACTAAAAGGACTAAAACCAGGACAAAACCAGGTCTAAAACCAGGTCTAAAACCAGGTCTAAAAACCAGGACTAAAAGGACTAAACAGGTCTAAACCAGGTCTAAAACCAGGACTAAAACAGGACTAAACAGGACTAAACCAGGTCTAAAACCAGGGCAAAACCAGGTCTAAAACCAGGTCTAAAAACCAGGACTAAACAGGACTAAAACCAGGTCTAAAACCAGGCTAAACCAGGACAAAACCAGGTCTAAAACCAGGTCTAAAACCAGACTAAACCAGGTCTAAAACCAGGTCTAAAACCAGGACTAAACCAGGACTAAAACCAGGACTAAACCAGGACAAAACCAGGACTAAACCAGGTCTAAAACCAGTCTAAAACCAGGACTAAACCAGGACTAAACCAGGTCTAAAACCAGGTCTAAAACCAGGACTAAACAGGACTAAACCAGGACTAAACCAGGTCTAAAACCAGGTCTAAAACCAGGACTAAACCAGGACTAAACCAGGACTAAACCAGGTCTAAACCAGGACTAAACCAGGACTAAACCAGGACTAAACCAGGTCTAAACACTATGACACTAACAGTAGGTGAACATCATTTAAAGCAGCAGTGTCTCATATAAAAATCATTTCTATCAGTATATTTTTTATATGCTGAAGTAAAGTCTGGACTTTTTATTTTCTTTTAGCAGATAAAACCAAACATCTTATGTTCAGATTTTGCTTCTCTACAGTAAACAGTGGTTTATTCATGGAGACTTTGGGCTCAACAGACAATTTGAAGAGAACAAGAATTTTCAGGATGTGGTTGGTTCATTCATGTAGTTTTAAAAAGCATCACAATATCAAGTAATCCAAAGTAATCAGATTACATTACTCACTTTAATTTAATGGATTATGTTACAAACTATATTTTGGGGTATGTAATCTGTAATCTGTAGGGGATTACATTTTAAAAGTAAACTTCCCAACACTGGAACAGTCAGGTCACATTCATCCACCTACACGTCATCAACAAGACACAAACGTCACTATTCTGCACTGAAGAAGAGAAAACTGTTCATGATCCATGTGACTGAAGTGAAGCACATCTCCACTCACCACAAAACACCACCACCAAAAACCTGGTCCTTCTCCTTCTCAATCTCCTCCTTAAAACAAGTCAGTTGTTCATGTTCTGGCTCCGGTACGAGAGGAACTTTAAAATCTCCAGGTGCTCGATGCTGCGTCCATGTTTGTTCAACTTGTGTAAACACAGAGACGCTCGCTGCGGTTGACGTCGTCGTGTCTCCAGTGTCACATGTGGGACACTTTTGGACCGTTTAATGTTCACACTGGAGTCACATACAAGTCACATTTAACTGGAAATGTGAACGACCTCGAAAAAACATCAGATTTCACAAAAAAATCTGAATTGAGCGTTAAACCTGCAGACTGAACGTAGACTTTGTCTCTGGATACTCGTCCCTGATTTGGTGTTGGACGCACAGCATCAGCCAAAGTTCAGCATTTTCAACTTCTGACCCCTGAACGCTCAAGACGCACTGTGTCCACGGCAAATCGGACACCAAACCGGACGCCTGAAGACGCGCCGCGAAAAACGTAGGACGACTCAGACGTGCGTCCACGTAGACCCTGAGTAAACTGGACGCCCTGACGCTCTGGTCCGAACACAAGTTTAAAGATGAGATACAGAAATCTGGTATCACGATTATAATGACCAAGATTATTCCCATTAACAATTATATTATGATAATTATAAAAGCAGCTGACAGTTTAACTCTCTCCATTCAGACGTTGCAGATTTATAACAGCTCAATTCCAATTACCTGTTTACTCCACATCCATATTTTATGAGATTTTTTAGCTCAGGAGCCGTTTCTCCCATCCACACTGATAAACTTATACTTTTAGAGGGAATGGAAATTTCATATTGTCTAATGTACAAACGACTCGTAAAAGTTTGTGTGTCTGTATGTGGTGTAAAACTCTGGAACAGACTGGATCCACGTCTCAAGAAACGACTAAATATCCTGAAATTCAAGTTGTTCTATAAACATATGGTTTGGTCACAGTTTATGGAGAGAGGGTCAGAATATTAGAACAAAACTGCCTCTGTAGCTCTGGTTTATGTTTGTTGTTGGTTTATGTTTGGTTTGTTCTGTCCGTTACTTGTATTTGTTGGTACATTTCTGTTTTACTACCAAACTAACAGTGACTCTTTGTCTGCACTTGTAAACAGTTCATATAGTTTAATTCAAAATGTCTGAAAAACGCAAAATAAGCTCATTGTGTTAGATTATGAAGAGCAGAGGTGGGATTAAATTTAAAGTTTTCTTCTTCCCACTCGTTTTTGGGCAAAATAGTAATAATAATAGTTATTAGTAGTTGTTGTTATTTTCATTTCTGTTATGATTTCACTTATGTCATATGTTCCATTGTATAGAAATGTAAATCTTGACTTGCCCAAAATAAATGCATTAAAAAAAAAAAAAAAAAAAAAAAAAAACGTGGACGATGCAGACTGTGTAAGAACGACTCCACACAAACGACCTGCCACAAGTGTAAAGTACTTTTGTTGTTTACAAAGGATAAAAATTGTTTCTTGGAGAAGCACATGAAAAAGTGCTGTTGTTCTGTAAAACTGTTCCACTGTGATTTATGTTTTTATTGTTATAAAAGTGGTTTACACATAAAGTTAATGTTCATATCATTTTCAGTCTTCAGGGTTTATTTACCAAATCTGCAACATCCCAGACACACGACATGTGAAGGTCTCAAAAAAAAGTCAGGATTGTAAATCATTGTATATATTGTATGTGATCATTTTCCACAAATATCAGATTTTTTCCTGTTACTAAAATTTTATTTGAGCCTGAGAGGTTTAAAACTTTTATGTTCATATCATGAACAGTTCCATATTTAAACAACTGTTAGAACTAGGGACGGGCCTTCGATGAAATTTTCTTAATCAATCGTCGGAAGAATTAACGATCGATTATCGATTAATCATTAATGTTTTTATATTAAAATGATCATCATTATTATTACTATCTGCACTAATCTGCATCAATAAATTCAACTTTACGACATATAAACATAACGACTCTAGATCCACATCAGCTGTTTGACATTATAATGTGTTTAATTCAGTTTTGTTCAAATCTCACAGAAACAAAACTTAAAACCACATCACTAATTTACATAAACTAAGTGAAGATAAAACTCCAGCTCTTGTGTCGCTGATGTGGTTCAACTTGTGTTGGATTAAAAGACATGACTCAGGTGAATACAGGTCAGTGTGACCAGATTTGTGTTTGTCAAAACCAGGACAGCGTACGGGGGGAGGGGCGGGGGCCTCGTCATCCACATTGAGCGACTCTCACCTGGAAAAACTTTTTCCCACTGGACACAGAAACATATGTGCTGCTTTATCCACTGTGCACATGGACTCACACTTGTCCCAACGCAACGGAAAGTGTGGAATTTCTTCTACAAATCCTGGTTAAATCCACATTTGTGCTTCGGTTCGTTACAGACTGACCCACTGTTTGTGTCTCGCTCCTTCTGATGCAGAGACACATGTACACACCTGTTTGTCCCGACACACAAACATACATTCAGTTTGTCCATTAAAATGAACGTAATCGAATGAAATTCTTAATGATCAATTATCGATTAATCGATTAATCATGCCCATCCCTAGTTAGAATCGTAGTTTGTTAAAAATGAAAACAACAACGATCTAGAAGAAAACATTATGGAAAAGCAGCTTTTTCCTGCACTTTCTGGTGATAAAATGTCAGTTTTCTTAAATCATTAACATCTGTCGGCGCTTGAAGGTTTTATTTATTTTCTGTTCTGTGAATATTTCAGTTTTTGTCTGTGTCGAGTTGTTTTATGGACTTTGTGTGTTTTAATTTGCAGTGTAATTAATCTGTACATGTGTCTGGGTTTTGGTTTTCTGGACCTTTTTTGTCTTTTTTTAGTATGTGGCGTTTTTTTGTTTTGTTTGTTTGTTTAAATCAGTAAATATATTTAAACACAAAAATGGCAAAATCTTCTTTGTTGGCGATTAGAGTTAAACTCTGAACATGAAATAAGACAGAAAAACATAAATGTGTCTAAAATAAACTATATCCAGCTCCTCTACAACACCGGCTCTTTTTCACTGACATTTCAAAACTTTTCCATGACTTTTTCATGAGCTAAAGGGAATTTTCCAGGACTTTAAAGCACCTGCATGAGTAGAACTGAGCAGAGTTTTAAATCTGAAATCTTTGTTTTTGTGTGAGATGTTTGTGTGTTTGTTTGTGTGAGATGTTTGTGTGTTTGTGTGTTTGTTTGTGTGTTTGTTTGTGCGTTTGTGTGTGTTTTGTGTGTTTTTGTGTGTGTGTGTTTGTGTGTTTGTTTGTGTGAGATGTTTGTGCGTTTGTGCGTTTGTGTGTGTTTGTGTGAGATGTTGTGTGTTTGTTTGTGTGTTGTTTGTGTGTTTGTGTGAGATATTTGTTTGTTTGTGCTTTGTGTGAGATGTTTGTGCATTTGTTTGTGCGTTGTGTGTGTTTTGTGTCTGACCTTGTTGAGCTCTTCTATCCTCCGGATCAGCAGAGGGTTACTCGAAGAGTTTTCAAAATATACATAATCTGGGAACGACAAGGAACGAGGGAAGAGAAGAGAAGAGGAGAGGAGGAGGGAAGGAGAGAAGGAAAGAGGAGAGGAAAGGAGGGACATGGGAGAGAGAAGGAGAGAGGAGGAAGAGAGGACAGAGAAAGAGGGAGAGAGGGGGAGAGATCAAGGCCAAATAAGGAGGGCAGACAGGGAGAGGGAGAAAAAAAGAAGGAGGGAGAGAAGAGAGAGAAAGTGGCAAAGGGCAAGAAAGTTGGAGAGAGAAACAGGAGAAAAGACAGATAGAAAAAGGGAGGGTGATGAAAAAAAATGACAGAAAGAAAGAAAGAAAGAAAGCAGAGCGAGAGCAGAAAGAGAAAAAAGAGACAGAGACAGAGAAATGGAGAGAGGAGGGGGCAGAGGGAGAGAAAGAGAAAAATAAATTAGTCACAGTTAAATTTGACAAAATGGTTTAAAAACACAAACATTTCCTCTTGGCTTTTCGTTCTCTGAAACACTCGGAGACTCGGAGAACAGTCTGAGACGCTCGGACGGAGAGACTGTGAGACTGTGAGACGGTGAGTTCATCGACGGTTCGCTCGGTTTTCGCTCTGAACTCGGCTGAAGTGAAGCATGATGGGAAAATACGGGTAATGCAGCTACAATATTGAAAGTGAAACGCTGCCACAGTTTGGAGTAATGGAACCTGAGAGGAGAAGTGACTCAACTCTACAACTCCACAACTCTACAAGTCCACGACTGGAAAAGCCGGAATATTATGAATCCAAACAATCACGAGACGAGAAAAACGTTTAAAGTCAAAACGGTCAAAATAAAACAGAGAAACTCAGTGGTCTGTTTCTCTGCTGGACTAAAAAAATCTCTGAATCACAGACTGATGTTAATTATATTATTACTTTTCCGATGTTTGTTCTTCTTCCACACATGGATTTTCATATTAAATCATTCGACCAATCACATTTCAGCATCATCTGTTGCCGGGCAGAGTCAGAGTCACAGAAGTCAGAGTCCTTCACAATCCAAAAACAAACGTCCATCAAACTGTCGCTTCAACCAATCAGATTAAACCAGGACTAAACCAGGACTAAACCAGGACTCTAAACCAGGACTAAACCGGGACTAAACCAGGACTAAACCAGGACTAAAACCAGGACTAAACCAGGGGCTAAACCAGGTCTAAACCAGGACTGAACCAGGACTGAAACCAGGACTAAACCAGGACTAAACCAGGACTAAACCAGGACAACATTCAAATGTCTCTTATTCAGAAACTAGAGGAACTATTGAAATAAGTAAAGTATCAGAATGTAGGAAAGAGTTACACTCCAACAGGGTCAAGTTAAACCTGTGAGATTCTTTCAAGTTCAAGACAAAAAAATGTAAAAACTCATGTCGGTAACGGAGGGAATGAAATATGCAGCACTTTTTGGTCAATAAATCCAAACAGTGATAACTCTTGGTTCTCACTTCCATATCCTTAACAAACTGGTTTGAATATTTGCTTCATATAGTTTTCTACCATATGGAACAAGATTAGGTTGAAAAACCTCTGACTTTTTGACTCATGAGATTTTTTATTAAGAAAGTTCATGGTAACGGAGGGAAAAGTAACGGAGGGAAAATTGTACAAACAAGTAGAAGGTGCAGGATTTTACATCATTTGTGGCTTTTTTCTTCTGAAAACTTTTTAATATTACTTCAAAATGAAAGAAACTATTTCTATAAAATATGTCAGTCCTTCCAAGAACATTTTTATCATTTTAAAATATATATATTTTTTTTTAAATCCTGTCCCTTCATCAACAGTTCAAAGATGGAATAACACAAGATATGATGAAATACAAACATTTATTTACATGATTTTCAGGTCTTTGAAATTTGGGAAATAATTTTTGTTCCATGTTTCATTCATGGTCTGTTTAAAACAGATGGAACTTTAGAACCAAAAATGGAACAGAAAAAAGGTCAACAGTTTGATAAACTCGAGTACATATGTATCTGTTCAATACTGTTTTATATCAGATGAATTCACTTGAGTTTTTGGTCTTGTTGTTTACTTCTGTTGGACTGGGACCTGTTGTACTGACAAAAATAATCGTGATATTTATTGTTTCCATCATTGAGCAGCTCTGACTCCAACATAATTTGAGCGACGATGGAAAAAAAAGTGTAAAGCGACACCTGCGTGTTTGCTGCTTTGGCGTAAATTGGAGGCACCACTTTGTGACATCACAAGGTGGAACAGCGTGTTTTCATTTTGGGGGACGAGCTCAGACTAAATGTGTTTAAATGAACTAAATGAGTTTGTGAGTTTAAAACGTGGAAAGAAAACTAAACAAAACAACGAGGAAACGACTTTATCACGGCTCATAAAACTGTCACATGATCCTTTTAACCACAGACTTAACCGTCCAAAACAGACAAAGATCTTCAGGTTCAGGTTCTGGTTCAGGTTCTGGTTCCGTTCTTGGGTTCAGACTGTGGGTTTGATTCGGTGCAGATTACGGCGGCGTCCCGTGTCCCTCTCCTCGCCGCGCTCCCTCTCCTCGCGCCTTTGTGCTCATGCTAATGCTCGGCCGGCGCTGTGAAGACGGAGCTGTGGGCCTGAGCTCGCCGGGTTTGGCTCCGCTCCATCTCCACGGGGTTTATCTCTCTGTGGGACGTCCTGGGGCTGAGCGGAGCTGAACGGAGCTGCCTCCCTCCCTCTCGCTCTCGCGCTCACATTAAACCCGGCGCCCTTCCCCCCGCTCGCTAAAGGAGACGTCCACCTGCAGTTAAAGGTCCAATAATCACACAAAACTCACTCTGTGGGGTTTGAGTCGAGTTCTAATGTTTCTCCTCACAATCAGAGCTGGAGATGGGTTTTGTTTCATTCACGTGTTTGAGTAAATCTTTATTTTTACTCTGTTTACATCTTCAAACCTCCAAACGCTCTGTTCCACCTCGTGATGTTTCAAGTGAACAGCTCCTTTTACCTTTAGTTTAGTTTGTTTAAACAATAATCTGTGTAAAAAAAGTGTTTCTAAGTGAGTGTGACGTCACCACAGAGTTCAGCGTCGCTCAGATGAAGCTCATGATGTTCACGGTTACAGGAGAGAATCTGGAGTCAAGCTTTTGACGGAAAAAATAGGCACAAAAAATAAAATAAAAAGAGACAACCAATCAGGGACGACTATTCAGAGATGTAGCGACGTTATTATCCGGAAGAAGAAGAAAGATCCGAGAACAACAAACACCACAACAAGAAAATCGACACCGTGTCATTAACGGAGGATAAATACAAACATGCCACAGCCAGGGTCAACGGCCTCCGCTACACTTTACACTAAAGTCACTCTCGCCCGAGAAAACAAGGCACTCGCTGCCCGCAGAGACGCCCTGGACGCACGTCTTGAGCACCGTGGGAGAAAAACACTTGACACACGTCTAGGGCGTCTGCTGGGGTCTGAACCAAACCCCTTTCAAAACTCAAAATGTCCATTCAAGTCACCGGGCTGAGCTCAGTGTCTCCAGTGTCAGATTCACCTTTAGCCCGGTGAGGTTCTTCTGTGACTCTGGGCCAACTGAGCATGTGCAGCAGCACAGCATTACAAAGATCACTTTTTGGATTTAAATTTTTTTTAAATGTTTGTTACGAAAATTCCAGAACGTCAAAACTCGCCCGTTTCAGCGACTATTTTCCCTTATGCATCGGGGCAGGACTCAGTATCAACATATAAACATATCGGCTTTATTACCTGGACGGACATATGATTTTAATCACACTCATAATGTTTATTAATTTTATATTATTATACGTGATTTTACCTTATTAAGGGAAAAAAACGGAGGTGTTTAATGTGCGTGTTAATAGATTTAAACCTCATTAAACACAAATGTGTTGCAGTTGTACTTAATTCACGATACACTTAATAAACATTCTAACTGAACACACTTTAACATAAAATAAATGATAAAAAGCAAGTACAAAATGTGACGTCTGAAAACAGTGAGTCGATGTGCAGCTGCAGCAGGAGCGTCTCTGGTGTGAAGTGAAACTTAGAAATTGACGCGTAGGTGCAGCTCCGACTACGTGAAGCGCTGCTGCAGCTCCTGGTGTGAATTCGGGGTTAGTCTGATTCATGAGCCGGTTTCACTTGGTGGAAACCGTGTGACCTGCAGCATTAGGATTCGTTCACTCGACAGGAGGCGGGGACTTTTTTTATTGAACCAATCGCTGCTGTTTGGTCGTGACGTTTGTAAAGCTCCAAATCCTGTAGGAAGAAGAACAAGAACGACTTTCTCCTTGATAAAATTCACCAAACATTCTCTTTGTTTCGGTTTTAAATCCTCGATCTCGGGAATCGTCGCCAACACTGAATGTCTGTCTCTTCTCTGATTGGCTGGTGCCCAAACTCGCACTTCCGAGGTTTTTGTAAATCCTCTAGTGTTTTCCGGTTCCTGACCGAGTCGCTGGAGAGAAATGAAACTGAGTGGAGACACTAGGCGGCATTTCTCTCAATTTTGGTACAATTTTTTAAACATGTGTGGACTCCACGTTGTCCAAACCCTGAGCCCGATCGTAAAAATGTCGTTTATGTTGCGAAAAATAAAAAAGAATCCAACAAAATCCGACCTTTGTGAAAGCCAGATGCCCTGTCAGAGCACGAACAGCTATATTTAAAAAAAAACAGCGTATTAACAAGTTCCACATTTTTCTCTCCTCCCTTTACTCTCCAAGCTAAGTCACCCCCCCTTCAGAGCGCTATCGCAACACATCATCACTAATGAAACTCCTGCACGTCACATCAGGTTTGTCGACTCGTTTTGTTCAGTTTTGTGTCGTGTTTTTGTTTATTTATGGAGAACTGTGGTGTGGGAGCATGTGGGCGGAGTTTGAATAGGCTCAAGAGAGATCACTAGATGACTCAAACATGCGTGCACGACTCTAAAATGTCTTCAGGCAAGTTTTGTGATGAAGAAACATGGGAGAAAAAAAGAAAAAAACACCAACAGTTTTTCTATTTTGACATTTCTA